TTGAAAAAAAAAAAAAAAAAAAGAAAGGGATTGGAAATTGAAACATTGTCCTCGCGAGTGAGACGCTACGAATAACAGAGGCCGATTCGACGACGATTTCACAAAACATGACAATTCTTTCAGGAGTAAAACAATAGACTTCCGCATTTAAAATAATGAAAGGCCAAAAACCAGCAATAAAAGCCAGCCCCTTCTAATTGCACTGTGATGCCCGACTGTATGTTGTGAAATGTATTGAAAAACTGTATTGATGATCCCGAACCAGTCGATGTCAAAACTAGGAGGACCCTAAGTCACCATACACGCTATCATTTTTTTTTTTTGCGATAATCTTGTCGAAGATCGCGCGTTCGACAGTTAGTGTTTGGGAGACAATAAGCCACCTTTTAAATAAACTCAGTTAGTAAATTAGTTAGAGCGGTGCCTTCTCTGGCTTATCCAGTCGAAGATGACTGAAATCAAAGTGAAAACAATCAATTTTTTCCAGCACATGAAACATGAATTCACCGGAATGGAACAAGAGAGTCTCTGTATATATAAATGTTAATGAATTTTAAATACTAAACCGAACCTTTCTGAGGTTTTTATAAGGCTTCACCCAATAAAAATTTTATAAAGAGTAAAAACTTACCCGAAATATAACGTAGCATGTTCATCGCCCTTTGCTCAAAATTAAATTTCTCTTGACTTATCGTTGGTTTTTAGTGACATCTAGGGCTCTTCGAGTAAACAACACGCCATTTTATGAGATTGCCAAGCTTGTGCTCCAGCATCTAATTATTAAAACAGGGCTGTAATGCATTTCACTGTTTTGCTTAATTATAGCTTTTTGACAATATGGAGCCAGCTGTAAACTAGGGTTGACTGAAAAGCAGGAGTCAGAGATCCGAGCCAATCGAAATCGTGTGTTGGTTAATGGTCTTGCGATTTGACAAATAGCATGTCTTGAACATTAAATGAACATAACGTGCTCAGTAGATCATTTATCATTACACATCCTCTCTCAGCCAGAGAAGAAAGAGTTTTGATTTGCTTGTACTATATCTGTTAGGAAATAACGAGCTTCGGTTTGTAATCATGGCCGCTTCGTCTTATTTTGTGTCCAACTGAAATGTGGTTGCACCGCGTTCTTTGAAGGCGACTTTCTACTGATTAAAAGTCAATTAAAGCAAAGACAATTTGCCTTCGAGCAGTTTCAAAATCAGGAAATTTTTACACAAGGACGCCTTCGAACCGAGTCGGTCATTAAATATGTACTTGAAGCCATATTTTCTTGGTTGCGGTAGATGTGGCATGTCTGTATGTGATCAGCGGTAATGGGTGGCATTCTTTTTCGTACGGCAGAATAACTTGTAGGATTCAATGAGAGGATTGTATCTTATTAACCCCGGGCCATACTGTATTTTAAGGATCTGTCTATACTGTTATCCCGCCATATCATATCTGTATCTTGTGTTATCTTATCATTGCACGTCACGGGCTTATTTTTTCCTTCGACGGCTGCAACGTGATGGAGTCGATGTTCCTGTTAAGTTAAATCTATGGGCAAAATAGAAAATATTAAGTTTGATTGATAAGACTGAGAATTAAAATGTGTCACTCAACTAGTCTGAATATTATCATTTCATAACCAACGTTTTTCCTACAACAATTTTCTTTCAAAGAAAGTGCGTCGTCGGCAGCAGAGCTTAACATACAGGACTGCCCCCGCAGAAGTGAGATATATTTGACCGCCCGTTGGCCAATCGACTTGAGAGGTTCATCTAAGGCGGCTTTATTACAGTGTGGACAGACTGCATGTTAAGACAGAATACTTCACAACTGTCAAAAATACCATTCTCAACCAAAACATTTGATTCACCAAACAATTAGGTTGGGCTCCATTTTACCATGAAGCGAAAATAAATAAGTCAATATTGGTATATAAACGGATTCTAGGGAAGTGCCCATTTTATCTTACCCAGATTCTTGTTAGGAATGTAGACGTGAACAGAAGAACGAGCAGGCATGGTCAATTAAACCTTGTCTGCCCCCGATTCAAACGGGAGACTGAGGGTGGAAGGTCTTTCTCAGTATCGACTAGCCGTCTCTGGAATATGATGCCTGCCCATATTAAAAACCAACCTCATCTTGCAAGCTTCAAAAAATCCATTTTTAAACATTATATGGACAGTTATAAGGAATTGGACCATTTAATCATCTAAATTTTTAATTTTCTTGTTTTAATTGTTAGACTTGATCCAATGCTTTGCTTTTTAATATTTTTTTTTTGAACTCACTTGCGCCCCGAAACA